ACACACACCCCTCCCCTCACCCTCTGCAAAGGGGGTCCCAGGAGGTGGGGTCCGTCCTTCCCGAATGCAAGGATGCTCTTATTTTAAAAAGATGGAGAGAGAGAGAGAGAGAGAGAGAGAGAAAGAGAGAAGGAGGGAGGGGGGAGGGAGGAAGGGAGGGAGAGAGAGAGAGAAACATCAATGAGGAGAGAGAATCACGGACCGGCTGCCTCCTGCACGCCCCACACGGGGGATCCAGCCGGCAACCGGGGCCTGTGCCCTGAGCAGGGACGGAGCCGGGGACGGAGCCGGGCGTGTTGGCGCCGGCTGATGGGCCGCTGGGCCGGCCGCTGGGCCGGCCGCTGGGCCGCGGTGGGGTGCTCCGCTCTGTCCTGTCGGGGGAGAGCCGGGAGAGCCGGGAGCCGTTTGCTGACGAGCTGGCAGCCTCGGCGTCGGTGCCGGGCTCTCCCTTCGCTCCGGCTCTTCTCGGTCGGGTTTGGAGCAGACGCGCCGCCCGCCGTGGTGTCTCCCCGGAGAGCCGAGCGGCCGGAGAGGCCCGAGGAGAGCCGCCGAGCGGCCGGAGACGAGGAGGCGGCGGCGGGCGGGTGCCGCGGAGCAGCTCGCCGAGGCTCTGCCGGCCCCTCGCCGGCGCACGCTCCCCGGGAGGCGGGCAGGGTCTTGCCGGGCACTGGTTGTCGTCGCAGACAAGCAGCCCCCCAGCACCCCGGGCCTGCACGGAGCCTGGTCCCCAGCCTGCCTCCCACCCAGGCAGCTGGCCGAGCGCGGAGCCTCCGTTTGCCTCCTGCTCAGCGACCCTCCTCCCGGGCGGCTGGAGCCACAGACCCGCAGACCGAGGGTGTGCGGGACGGCCCCCGACAGGAGTGAGGAGACGGGACGGCCCCCGACAGGAGTGCGGAGACGGGACGGCCCCCGACAGGAGTGAGGAGACGGGACGGCCCCCGACAGGAGTGAGGAGACGGGACGGCCCCCGACAGGAGTGAGGAGACGGGACGGCCCCCGACAGGAGTGCGGAGACGGGACGGCCCCCGACAGGAGTGCGGCGACGGGACGGCCCCCGACAGGAGTGAGGAGACGGGACGGCCCCCGACAGGAGTGCGGAGACCGGTGTTCGTTGGCCCTGAGTTTGGCGGCAGCTGGGACCGCTGTCCCGCCAGGCCCCGCCGACAGGCCGGACCGGCTCCTGGATGGGCCAAGCGCAGGCGCCGGCCGCCGCCCGGGAGCGCCCCGAGCACAGGACACGGGCTGTCCGCTGCCGCCCGAGAGGCCCTCGCCCCGGTGAGGCCCGGAGTCACAGCCGCGAAAACCGGGAAAACGTCAGCCTGGGTGCGGCTGTGGGGGAGCTGAGTGCGCCCGCCCGATCGGAGCAGCAGGGGCACAGCCGGAACCCCAAGCTGACGGTTCCCGTTCTCTGGCGGAGGCCTGGGGCCCCTGCGGCTGCCCCAGACACACACACACACACACACGCACACGCACGCACACGCACGCACACACACACAGGCACACACGCACACACACGCACACGCACGCACACAGGCACACACGCACACACACAGGCACACGCACACACACAGGCACACACGCACACACACAGGCACACACGCACACGCACGCACACGCACACGCACACGCACACGCAGAGGCCGGCAGACCAGCCCGGCCCCGTCCCCGGCCCCTCCTCGCGGGCCGCCCACACCGCCTCGGGGCGGCCGCCCTCGCCCTCCCAGCGCACAGAGGCCAGCGGCGGAGCGGCCTGGCCCCGCCCACAGCGGGCACCGGGCCGGCCGGGCGGACGCGGCTAAAAGTGACGGCGAGTCACTGTCCGGGCCGGACGCCGGGCGCGGGGGGTGCGGGAGAGGACGGGCCGGCCCCTCGGGGAACACGGCCGCGGCCTGGGTGCTGGTGGGGCCTCGAACCCGAAACCAAGTCCCTTGGGCCAGGGCGCGGGGCCAGAGTGTGGGGGGGGACCGCCAGGAGCTGGCGATGAGAAGGCCCGTCCCCCGCTGCTCTCCTGCCTCTGTGACCCCCACTCGGTCCCGGGGGGCCGAGAGGCTGTGACGTGGGGTTTCCCTGATGGCAGACGGGTGTGACCTCTGCACAGAGAAGGTCAAGCTTCATCTTAAAAAGAAATGGAAATCTCTCTCACACACACACACCACTTCTGTTTCTGAAAAATGAAAACAGAACACACACACACACACACACACACACACACGGTGCCCCCCCAAGGCATTCCCACACTTTACCAGCTGAGAGCTGGTTTTGAAAAGGAAGTGTTTTCACACACACCACCTTTCTGATTACTCAGAGTGCGTGGAGACACCATTGGGGGATCCCTGGCCGATGGAGGGGTGTGTGTGTGTGTGTGTGTGCAGACGGGGGTGTGTGTGTGCAGACGGGTGTGCGTGTGTGTGTGCAGACGGGGGTGTGTGTGTGCAGACGGAGGGGTGTGTGTGTGTGTGTGTGTGTGTGTGCAGATGGAGGGGTGTGTGTGTGTGTGTGTGCAGATGGAGGTGTGTGTGTGTGTGTGCAGACGGGGGTGTGTGTGTGCAGACGGAGGGGTGTGTGTGTGTGCAGACGAGTGTGTGTGTGTGTGTGTGTGCAGACAGGGGTGTGTGGGGTTGGGTGTGTGTGTGTGTGTGTGTGCAGACGGAGGGGTGTGTGTGTGTGTGCAGATGGGGGTGTGGGGTGGGGTGTGTGTGTGTGTGTGCAGACGGGGGTGTGTGTGTGCAGATGGAGGGGTGTGTGTGTGTGTGCAGATGGGTGTGTGTGGGTGTGTGTGTGCAGACGGGGTTGTGTGGGGTTGGGTGTGTGTGTGTGTGTGCAGACGGAGGGGTGTGTGTGTGTGTGTGTGTGCAGACGGAGGGGTGTGTGTGTGTGCAGACGGAGGGGTGTGTGTGTGTGTGTGTGTGTGTGTGCAGATGGAGGGGTGTGTGTGTGTGTGTGTGTGTGTGCAGACGGAGGGGTGTGTGTGTGTGTGTGTGTGTGCAGACGGAGGGGTGTGTGTGTGCGCAGACGGGGGTGTGTGGGGTGGGGTGTGTGTGTGTGTGCAGACGGGGTGTGTGGGGTGGTGTGTGTGTGTGTGTGTGTGTATGTGCAGACGGAGGGGTGTGTGTGTGTGTGTGTGTGTATGTGCAGACGGAGGGGTGTGTGTGTGTGTGTGTGTGCAGACGGAGGGGTGTGTGTGTGTGTGCAGACGGGGGTGTGTGGGGTTGGGTGTGTGTGTGTGTGCAGACGGAGGGGTGTGTGTGTGTGTGCAGACGGGGTGTGTGGGGTTGGGTGTGTGTGTGTGTGTGCAGACGGGGTGTGTGGGGTGGGGTGTGTCTGTGTCACAGCCCGGAGGCCACGGGCAGGGACAGACGAGGCGCGGGCGGGGCTCGGGGACCCTCTGGCGCCTCCGCGCGCGCGGAGCTGGCTGGCGCCGGCTCCCTCCCAACCCCGCCCGTCCGTCCTGTCCGCTCCGTCCCTGGTCACGGCCCCCATAGCGGGCGCAGGCTCAGTCCAAGGGCAGCCCCGGCCGGCACGTCTGACCCGCAGGGCGGAGGCCATGGCCCCCGGGGGACAGAGGGAGAGGTCACGGTCACTGGCAGAGGGCGGAGGCCATGGCCCCGGGGGACAGAGGGAGAGGTCACGGTCACCGAGGTGCCGGCGTGGGCTGCCAGCTGGGTGTTTGACAGCTCAGTGCGGTCCGTCTCTCCAGCGAGAGGCCACCAGGGACGAGGAACCTTCCAGAACCCCGGTGGGCGTGGCCGTGAGGGTGGGCCCGGGGGTGTGAAGGCCGGAGCCGCCCGGTGGGAGCCGGAGCACAGGATGGAAGATGGTGGCTCGCCCCGTCTGACCGCGGAGCCCGGTGAGCGAAACGCCGCGTTTTTAAATCTCACTGAGACGCCCCCCCCCCAGCCCCCACCCCCTCATCCCGCCCCAGCTGGTCCCGGGCCCCGGGGGGGCATTCGGGGGACAGGGGGGCCTTTAGGGGTTTCTGTTCCTGCCCCCCACTCTGTCCTCGGGTATCATCGCCAGCCCCACCCCTTTCCGGGCTGAGGAAGGCCGTCTTGTCTTCTCCAGAACGTTCCGGACGCCCGGCCCTCGGGCTGGTTCTGTTTGGGCCGCAGATGCCTCCGCTCCTCCTGGTCGATGCCGAGAGAGAGACGCGTCACACCCCCCCCGGGGGGGGCTCCCGATCCCGCACACGCTCTCTCTTTAAGTGACTTTAGAGAGAGGGGATGGGAGGGGGAGGGGAGGGGGCCGGGGCACGGGGCACGGGGGGCTGGGCAGTGCCGGGGCCCCGGGCAGGGCTGGGCCTGAGCTCTGTCCACACGCTCAGCCTCCCTCTGCCTCGCTCTGCCCTCGCCGTCCCCTCCCCGTCCTCTGCTCCAGTGACCTGCAGGCCGCGGTGTGCCGGCCCCGGGCGGCTGGGCCTGCTGGGTGCCTGTGTGGGTGGGGGTGGGTGCCTGTGTGGGTGGGGGTGGGTGCGGGACCTTCTCCCGGGCTCTGAGGACAGAGGCCGTGCCCTCCCCTGGGGAGGGAGGGAAGGGGGGGAGGGGGTGGGGGTCCTGCAGAAAGCAGGCCTGCTTGGGGGAGGTGGGAGGGCAGGAACCCGGGAGGCTTCCCGTCACCACCCCCCCCTCCCCGTCCCCGTCCCACTTCCACCCAAAGGCCCAGGCACGGCCCAAGCCGTGGGCACGGCCCATAAGCACAGACAGGCATCTGGCATCGGGCGGAGACCCCTCACCTCCCCCAACCCCCACCCCCTCGCAGGTCCCCCCGCCCTGCACTCCCAGGTCCCCCGAAGCGCTATTTCTAAAGGTCCTTTATCCAGTGAGAAGGAGGAGCCGGAGGGCCCCATCGGACCGGCTCACACACACACACACACACACACACACACACACCCCGCCCGCCGCCCGGAGCCCTGGCTCCCCTGTGGGCGGGGCAACCGGCGGGGCGGAGGGCGGGCGGCCAGGAGGCGGCGCCTATAAAAGGCCGGCCGGGCGGTGCGGAGGCCGCGGCGCGGGCAGCGGAGGCCCGGAGGCAGCGCAGCCCGGACCGGTGGGGCCCTCCCTCCGGGCGGCTGGGGAGCGGAGACGCGGGCGCGGGCCCCAGCGCCGCCTGGCTCTGCCGCGGGTCCCGGCGCAGCCCTCGCCCCGGGAGCCGGCCCGCGCCCGCCATGGTGGGCCACCTGCATCTGCAGGGCATGGAGGACGGCGCCTCGGAGCGCGGCCGCGAGGGCCTGCTGGACAGCCCCGACTCCGGGCTGCCGCCCAGCCCCAGCCCCAGCCCGCCCCCCTGCGCCCCGGAGCCCGGCCCCCCGGGACCCGCCGGCGAGGCCGGAGCGGTGAGTGCGCCGCGGGGAGGGCCGGCCGCGGGAGGGTCTGTGCCCGTCCCCCCGACCCAAACGCCCAGACCGCCCCCCTCCAGCCCAGCGACCGGGACTCTCCCTCCTGGGCCCCTCCGGGGAGGGCCCCTCCGGGGAGGGCCTCCGACGGGGCCGGGAGCGGGGTGCAGACCCCGAACCCCGAACCCACAGAGGCCGCCCTCCGGGGGCTTGGCCCCGCCCGGCCCGGCCGCCGACAGACGCCAACAGGTCCCGGCCGCTGCCCCGCAGCGAGCTCACCGCCATCCTTCCTTCTTCTTTTCTTCCTTCTTCCTTCCTTCCTTCCTTCCTTCCTTCCTTCCTTCCTTCCTTCCTTCTTCTTTCTTTCTTCTTTCTTTCTTCTTTTCTCTCTCTTTCTCTCTTTCTCTTTCTTTCTTTCTTTCTTTCTTTCTTTCTTTCTTTTCTTTCTCTTCCTTCCTTCCTTCCTTCCTTCCTTCCTTCCTTCCTTCCTTCCTTCCTTCCTTCCTTTTTTTCTTTCTTTCTTTTTTTCTTTTTTCTTTTTTTAAGCAAACCCGCACAGGACCCTCCTCCCCTGGCTGAGGGAGTTGATGGGGAGTGGGCGGTGCTGGGGACTGAGTGGGGCTCCGGGCGGGCACCCGGCTGGGCGGCTGGACTGCGACCGGGAGGCCCCACGGGCGAGTGGAAAGGGGGTGCTCACACACCCGCGGCTCTCCCCTCCCTGCCGGCTCCGCACGCTGACCTCCGGGCCTGCGGGGGGTGCGAGTGTGTGCGCGCGTGTGCGTGTGCGTGTGCGTGTGTGCATGTGTGTGTGTTTGTGTGTGTGCCCGTGTGCATATCACAGGACTCGGCCCAGGGCACTGTCCTGGGCCTGGCAGGCCGCCTGGGGCCTCGGGGGCCGTGAAGGCTCCCCCACCTGACGCCCGGTGGGTCCCGTGGGCCCCAAACGTGGCCTCAGGCAGCCTGGTTTGGTGGGCCCGGCCGGCCTGGCTCAGGGCTGAGCGTCGGCTGAGGAGCCAGGAGGTCCGGGTTCGATTCCCGGTCAGGGCACAGGCCGGGGTTGTGGGGTCCATCCCCAATGGGGGGCGTGCAGGAGGCAGCCGGTCCATGATTCTGTCATCATGGCTGTTTCTCTCTCTCTCTCTCTCTGAAATGAGTAAGAATATGTTTAAAAAACAAAGCCACTTCACTGTGGCTTTAATTGAAATAAACAGGCACCTCCCGGTGTCTCTCACGGGCAGCCAGGTTCGGGGCCTCGGTCTCAGGCACAGCCCGCGGTGCATACGGTGAGCGTGGATCCGGTCTCCCTCGGGGCCGGGCCGGGGCCGGGGCCGGGGCGGGAGGGGAGGGGAGGGACGCCGGGGGAAGCAGGAGGGTGGGGGTGACGGCTGTTTCGGGGACACTGGCCCTGCCGGTCCCTCCGGGCGCAGCGGCCGGGGGGCACCAGGCAGTGGTCCCGCTGGCACCGTGGGGGAAGAGGGACGGGGGACAGCTCCCCTGATCGTCCCGCTGACCCAGAATCCTCCGGGAGGAGTGCCTTCCCGGCGCTCCAGCCTCCCCAGGGCCGGGCCGGGCCGAACCGTCACCTGAGCCCGTTACCCGATCGCTCGCTCCCATCACCTGCGCTCAGATTCCGGGTGGGGGGGGCTGGGGTGCAGGCGGCCAGGCCCCAGGTCACCCCCAGCCGGTGGCCGCGCTGGGACGGGCCTCCACCCTCAGACCCTGCGTTCTCCCGCTTCCCACCGGGAGCTCCCGGAGGGCGTCTGTTCGTTAACAAACAAAACGCACCCTAGCTGGTTGGCTCAGTGGGCAGAGCGTCGGCGGGCAGGGTCCCGGGTTCGATCCCGATCAAGGGCACGGCCCTCGGTTGCAGGCTCGATCCCTGGCCCCGGTGGGGGCAGGTGTGGGAGGCAAGCCATCCAGTGTCTCTCCCACATGGATGTCTCTCTCTGTCTCTGTCTCTCCCTCCCTCTCTTCCACTTTCTCTAAACACCGACGAGAAAATATCCTTGGGTGAGGATAAATAAATAAATAGGAAGTGGAGCCGTTTAAAAACCAGAAAGCAAAGTGCCCGTGAGCCAGTGTGGCTCTGAGATGCTTTCAACAAAGAGGAAAGGGCTGCCCTGGGCAGCCTCCTCAGCCGGGGCCTGCAGCCGGCCGCCCCGCCCCGGTCCCGAGGGGGCGCCCCGCTCCCGTGAGCTCCGGGGATCCCCCCGCTCGCCGTGGCTCCCGAGGCGCTTCCGGGCGCAGACGAGGGCGCCTCGGGTGGGGCGGAAACCTGGCCGGCGGCCAGTCTGAGAGGGCAGCACGTGCCAAGGTCCTGGGGCAGGAGGGCCGGGCGGTCCCAGGAGCGGCGAGGCGGCCGCACGGCCAGAGCAGGGACCTGCAGGCCACGCCGAGGCCAGAGTGAGATCCCGCTCAGTCTTTCCCCGTGTGCCCTCGTACTTTGTAAACGGTGCTGAGTTCCCGCGCTCCCCAGGTTAGAATCCCGAATCGGAGGCTTGCCGGAGAGGCCGGGAGGCCGGGAGGCCGGGAGCGGGCGGGGCCGGGCTGTCCTGCAGGCGCCCCCCCCCCCACCACCACGGCTGCCCGGCCAGAGGGCTTTGCCCGAGAGCCATTCTGCCCACAAACACTTCAAACGGGCGGCCCGGGAGCTGGGTGCACCGTCTGAGCCCTCGGCTCCCGGCTGGGCCCGCACCTCCTCCCCGTCCCGCAGCCCGTGGTGGGGACCTGGGTGCATGGGGGGGGGGACTAGCCGTGCCCCAGCTCCCTGCCCCCCCGCATGTGGAGGGGGCAGCCACCACCGCGGGGGGGGGGGAGGAAGGACGGCCGCTGCAGGCCCACCCTCTGCGGCCCCTTCACAGGTGGAGTGTGTGTCTGAGGACAAAGGAGGAGGGACGGGTAGATGAGCGGGCGAACAGACGGACGGACAGATGGATGGATGGACAGATGGGTGAACAGACGGACGGATGGACGGACAGATGGACGGACGGATGGATGGACAGATGGACGGGCGGATGACAGGCTCCCAGGTGTGTCCCTGGGTGCGGGAGACTGAGCCAGCTCAGGGTGGGGGGCCCTGGACCGATGGGGCTCTGCAGACCCTGGCAGAACAAGGTCAGACTCCCTGGGCCCCATGGCGGTGGCGGTGGCCGCGGCCCACGCTGAGGCAGCCACGGCTCCGTGTCACCGGACACAAACGTGGCTGTGTCGCCACGTGTCCCCCTGGCCGGGCCGGCCGGCCCCGCGTGGCCCCCGCTCTCCGCGCCCGCCCCATGGGCCGTGCCCGCCCGGCCGCCAGGCAGCGCGCCCGCGGGCACCTGTGTGTGTTTTTACTGCCGGCCGCGGTGTTTACCTCGGGGAGGGCATGGAATGAGAGGGCACGGAATGGCAGGGCGAGGCGGGCAGGCCCGGGGGGCGCTCCTCCTAAACCCCACCCCGCTGCCCCCACGCCCACCTGCTCTGGGCTCCGGGGGCGCTCCTGCCCGGGAGGGGCTGGAGGCTGTGGGCCCTCGGGGCCGGGAGGGTGGTGCCAGGGAGACTGGGGAGTCCCCTCAGCTCTCGGCTGCTCTGTGCCCGGGACCCGTGTGCCTCCCCCGCCCCCCGCCCCAGAGCCTCCGGGGAACTCCCAGGGGCTCAGCCCGTTTTACAGATGAGCAAGCCGAGGCCCTCTGCAAGCCCTTCCACCGGCAAGAATCCCGGCCCGCCCGCCGGCGTGGCTCCGTGGCGGAGCGTCGACCTGTGCACCAGGAGGTCAGGGTTCGATTCCCGGTCAGGGCACAGGCCCGGGTGGCGGGCTCCATCCCCACTGTGGGGCGTGCAGGAGGCAGCCGGTCCGCGATTCTCTCTCCTCATCGATGTCTCGCTCTCTCCCTGCCTCTCTGGCATCAATTTAAAGGGAAAGAGCCCGGGCTCGGCCCGGATCAGCTCAGTTGCTGCAGGGCCGTTCCGCTAAGCCTCCGGGGCCCCTGGGCTGTGAGCGCCTGTGCGCCCTCTGTGCCCACGCCCCCATGACTCCTATCCGAACAGCCCAGCCGTCCGGGAGCGCCCCGTTCGGGGGCCCAGGCTGCCTCCTGGCTGCGCCGGGCGCTCCCGGTGCCCACCCTCCGGCTGGTGGGAGCCACGGGCCCTCGGTGAGCGAGGAGGCAGTGCTGTGCTCCCGACACCGACACCGAGGCCGCCTCTTCCCGCCCGGCCCCGGCGACTTCCGGAGCGCCTGGCCGCCAGGCCCTGGATGCCAGCCTGGTCTGGGGCGCGCCCGGCTCCGGGCCGCTGGAAAGCGGTGCCCAGGGCTGCGCTGCCGTGCCAGGCCGTGAAGGGGCCTTGTGTGCCTGCTGGCGGCCGGCCCGGAGCCAGAACCGCCCGCGGGTGGCGGCCGTCACGCCGGCCGGAGGTCTGCTCAGGCCGTGCTGGGGTTCTGCCGTTTCTCTGGGGTTCTGCCTCCGGCTCCAGAGCGGGGGTGATTGTTTTCAGGGGGGCGGGGAGGGCATCCAGCCGGAGAAACAGCCCGTGCTCCTGTCCCCTCGCGGGCTGGTCTTCCTCTCGGGCCTCTGCGGCCACACACGGCCCCTTTGGACAGGGCCCGGGGGGCATCCTGCCCACAGTGCCACGCAGTGGGCGCGCAGCACGCAGTAGGCGCGCAGCGAGCTTCTGTAAACTGAGGCCACGGCCGTGCCGCTGGCCGGCGTGGACGGGGCGGGGCGGGGCGGGAGACGCCGGGCGCCTCTGAAGCCCGGGCTTTGTCTTGTTTTGTTTCTGAATTCCGTCTCCCGACACGGGCCCGGCGGCTGTGAGGGCCGGGCCGGGGCCTGGAGGGGAGTCGGAGCTCGGAGGACTCACCGGCACCTTCACCACAGCAGCCGCCGCGTCCCTGCGCTCCAGAGGGGCCGGGCCTCGGGGTCCCGCACTCCTCGGGGTCCCGCACTCCTCGGGGTCCCGCACTCCTCGGGGTCCCGCACTCCTCGGGGTCCCGCACTCGGTGCAGGCAGAGGGACAGGACCTGTGGGTGTCAGGCCGCAGGCGCAGGCGCGGAGGCGGGTGGGGACGGCCGGGTCCCGGAGCCGGGAGGCTGCCCCCGGCCCCCGGGGGTCTCGGTGGGGGGAGGCCGGTCAGAGGGTCAGAGAGCTCCCTCTCCGGGCCGGCCGGGCCTGGGCCGCCCGTGACCAGTGCCCCACCCCCCAGTGAGGGCAGCGCTCAGGCACGGGGGAGGGGCCCGGCCTGCGGTTTGGGGCGACAGGCAGCAGGCGGGGGCTGGAGGGTGCAGGCGGCCCTCGTGTGAGTGTGTGAGTGTGAGGTGTGTGTGTGTGTGTGAGTGTGTGTGTGTCTGTGTGTGTGAGTGTGTGAGTGTGTGTGTGTCTGTGTGTGTGTGTGTGTGTGTCTGTGTGTGTGTGTGAGTGTGTGTGTGTGTGTCTGTGTGTGTGTGTGTGAGTGTGTGTGTGTGAGTGTGTGTGTGAGTGTGTGTGTGTGTGTGTGTGTGAGTGTGTGTGTGTCTGTGTGTGTGAGTGTGTGTGAGTGTGTGTGAGTGTGTGTGTGTGTGTGTGTATGAGTGAGTGTGTATGAGTGAGTGTGTGTGAGTGTGAGTGTGTATGAGTGTGTGTGAGTGTGAGTGTGTGTGTGTCTGTGTGTGTGTGTGAGTGTCTCTGTGTGTATGAGTGAGTGTGTATGAGTGAGTGTGTGTGTGTGAGTGAGTGTGTATGAGTGAGTGTGTATGAGTGAGTGTGTATGAGTGAGTGTGAGTGTGTGTGTGAGTGTGTGTGTGTGTGTGTGTGAGTGTGTGTGTGTCTGTGTGTGTGAGTGTGTGTGAGTGTGTGTGTGTGTGAGTGTGTGTGAGTGTGTGTGTGTATGAGTGTGTGTGTGAGTGTGTGTGTGTGTGAGTGTTTGTCTCTGTGTGTATGAGTGAGTGTGTATGAGTGAGTGTGTGTGAGTGTGAGTGTGTATGAGTGTGTGTGAGTGTGAGTGTGTGTGTGTCTGTGTGTGTGTGTGTGAGTGTCTCTGTGTGTATGAGTGAGTGTGTATGAGTGAGTGTGTGTGTGTGAGTGAGTGTGTATGAGTGAGTGTGTGTGAGTGTGTGTGTGAGTGTGTGTGTGAGTGTGTGTGTGAGTGTGTGTGTGAGTGTGTGTGAGTGTAACGATACCCGTGGCTCTCCCCGCAGCCCCCACCGCCCTCCCCGCAGCCCCCGGCGCTGGCGCTGCGGCCCCGGCTGCGGCCGGTGCTCTTCGGTGAGGGCATCGAGGTGAGCCCAGAGCCGGCCCACGAGATCCGGTGAGCGGGGCCTGCGGGCGGGCGGGCACAGGGTGAGCCTGAACCCGGGGCGGGGGCCAGGCTGGGGGCCTCTGTCTGCTGGCGCAAGGACCCTCCCTGGCACCTGGGGCCCCTTTCCCCGGGCACCCCGTGTTCCAGCAGCTAATCCCCCGTATCCCCGGAAGAGCCCGCACACCATCCCCAAATGTCCTTTTTGAGCACATCACAGACCGTGTATTTTCACTGATTTAAGGGAGAGAGAAGCATCCATGACGACAGAGAATCACGGACCGGCTGCCTCCTGCGCGCCCCCCACTGGCGATGGAGCCCGCAGCCGGGCCTGGGCCCTGGCGGGGATCGAACCCTGGCCTCCTGGCTCCCAGGGCTCACCCCGCGGGGAGGCACCTTTGTGACCAGCTCAGGGCCGGGCGGCGGGGGGCCCTCCTCCGGGGCCCTCCTGCGACCCCAGGCCTCGACTGTTACAAAGAACCCGGATGGGGCCCAGCCCGCCGCCTGGCTCACGCCCCCCCCCCCCCCCCCCCCTCCAGCTGCAACTCGGAGGTCCGCTACGCCTCGGAGCAGCACTTCCGGGACAAGGTGGAGTACGGGCCGGTGCCCACCGTCACGGCCTACAGCGAGACCATCGTGGCGGCGCCCAACTGCACGTGGCGCAGCTACCGCAGCCAGCTGACCCTGGAGCCGCGGCCGCGCGCGCTGCGCTTCGCCTGCACCGCCATCATCTTCCCCAAGCGCGCGCGCCGCTCCTTCCGCACCACCCTGCTCTGCGGCGGCCGCGCGCGCTTCTCCGCCAGCGTGCAGCTGCGGCCGGGCCCCCCGGAGCCCCCCGGGGCCCCCCCGCCGCCCCCCGGGGGCCCCCCGCCGCCCCCCGGGGGCCCCCCGCCGCCCCCCGAGGTCCCCCCGCCGCCCTAGCGCCCCGCTTCTCCGCCAGCGTGCAGCTGCGGCCCGGCCCCCCTGGGTCCCCCCGCCGCCCCCCGAGGTCCCCCCGGCCCCCCGGGGCCCCTCCACCGTCCCCCGCGGCCCCGGAGCCCCCCGCGGCCTAGAGCGCTCCGCAGCCTGGCCCCGAGGGCGCGCCCCGCCAGCCGCTCCGCCCGGCCCGCGGGAGCAGCACCTGGTCCACGGGCCCCGGGGCAGGCGGCCGGGAGGCGCGCACAGGGCGGGAGGGCGCGCACCGGGGCGGGGAGGGCGCGCACCGGGGCGGGGAGGGCGCGCACCGGGGCCGGGAGGCGCCTCACCTCCGGCCACGCAGGGCCTTCCCATCGGGACCTTGGACACGGCCTCGCCGGGGCCACGGAGGCACTGAGGGTCCTGCACTGCCCGCGGCCTCCCCTGCGCCGGCCGGGCCGCTGGTTCCGAGGCCGCCGGCCCCGAGGCTGCGGGCTGGGCCGCCCTGACCCGGCGGCGGCTCTGCAGGGACTGGACCGCGGGGAGAGGAGGCTCCGGCCGGACGCGGGGCGGGGGGCGCACAGGCGGGCCGCCCGCACAGACGCCCCAGGAGCCGGAGGGGCCTGTGGGAGCCCCGGCCGGAGGGGACGGGGAGCAGGGCCCCCGCCCCCCAAGGCAGAAGGCTGGGGCCGGGGCGCCCGGGGCGGGAGCGGGGAGAGGAGCGCTCAGGGCGGACGCTCCGTGCGTGTTCTCTGAGACGCTCCCAGGAAAGAAGTAACTGAACAGCGACAGAATCTCAATAAAATGTGCAAACACAGAGGCTCCCTCTTGTGCCAGACCCTGGGCCCCGGGGGGTGGCGCGGCGGAGGGGTTTCCTGGGCGGGTCCCTCTCCTCTGCTCGGCCGGGGCTGTGCACCCCCAGCCCTGCCCGTGTGACAGCCTTTGGGGGTGCCTGCCCCCCACACACAGGCCGGCTCCGGCCGGGGGGACTCCCAGGAGCCCGGGGGACAGTGGCAGTGGATGTGGGTGTCTGATGCAGAGGTGGTGGGAGGGACACACCTTCCCCGAGGAGGTGGGACAGCAGGCCGTGGGGTGTGGGCCCCCGACCCCGGACCCTGGCCGCTGGCCGCTGGCAGCGCGTGAAGGACAATGATGGACGGGCCAGGCACCTGGGTGCTCCCCACCCTGAGGTCTCTCCTCCAGCCTCCCCAGCTGTGTCCCCATCCCCTGGAGGGGGCGTCCTCGGGGTGCAGAGGTTACCGGGCTGACCCCCATCCCCGGGGAGGGGCCCGGTGGCTAGGAAAAAGGGACGTGACCATCTCTCAGCCTCTGTGGGGGGCACCCGGCCAGGCCGTCCAGGCCCTGGGTGGGTGGGAGGGGTTGGGGAGCGGTCAGTGTTTGAGCCTGTGGTGCAGCCAGACCTTCCGGGGCGGCCCGCGCCTCCCCCCACGCAGGTGCCTGAGCACGCCCAAAGGTGCCTGCGGCTCCGGCCCAGGGCCCGCACCCCCGCCTGCCTGTCCGGGGTCACCCCGCCAGCCGCAGGGCAAACCCAGCAGGCTCCCCACGCTCCCCCCAAACGGGCCCCAACCCCTGGCCTGGCCGGGCCCCCCTCCAGGAATGACACGGACACACACAGGTAGGGGCCGTCTGCAGCCAGCGGGGGGTTGGGGTGGGGGGTGTCCGTGTTCCGCCTCCGTCTTCACCGCGACCCTGCGAGGGAGCGGAGACCCCAATGCGGAGGCAGCACTGGCCCAGCCCCAGCCCCGCACAGCCCGTGCGGCCCGAGCGAACCCGGCCCTCAGCAGCCCCCGGGCTGTCTCCCGACAGAGGGGCCCGGAGCCAGCCCTCCCGCAGCTGCCGCGGGTGAACGCCCTGATGATGCCATAACGCCCGGATTGCACCCACCTGGGGGTGCCCTCCCGCCCACCGGGAGCCCCGCTCCCGCCCGGGCAGCACCTGGGCCTCTCAGCCAGCCTCCAGCGTCCTCAGACGCGGACACCGGCCAACAGTGTCCGTCCCTCGCCGGCCCCATCGGTGTCCGTCGCGGGGGCGGGGGCGGGGCAGGAGGCCGGGGGAGGGGGCGTCCTCAGAGGCCCCAGCCCCAGCTGGGCTGACGCGTGTGCAGGAGTTTGCCAGGGAGACGGGGGTGGGGGCACCTGGGACCCGATGCAGAGGCGGAGCCGGGAGGAAGCCGGACAAGACGGGACAGGACGGACGAGCCTTCAAGGTGAGGACGGGCTGCTGGCGGCTGCAAGACGGGGGCCCTGTGAGGGAGCCAGGAGGCGTGAGCGCTCCCCACACCCTGCAGACACCCCCATGTCGGGTCTGCCCGCTGCCCACTCTGCGGCCAGGAGATGGAGGGGCCGGGGGGGGGCTGGCAGAGACGGCCATGCCGACTGAGACCAACACCCCCCAAACATATCACATGTCACTCTGGTCTGACCGCAGCTGAGGGGGGGCTGGGGGATCCTGGGGGGCACCAGCAGGCGTGGCCAGAGCCACCTGTTCCCCCCCCCCCCCCCCGGGTTCCTGGTGGAGGCACCTGAGCAGAGTGGAGGGTGGAGGGAAACCGAGCCCAGAACAGGCCCTTTGCTGGCCCGACACCGCCATCTGCCTGTGGGCAGCGGTACTGCAGCTGGGAGCCAGGCCTGTGTGTCTGCAACGCCCTCTGCCCATTGGGCCTCAGTGCCCAGACTCACAGGGTGCAAACGGGGCTCCCTCTCCACCCCCCGTTCTCCGCTGCCCCCCAATCCTGTGGGAAGTGCTGAACGTGAGGCTGAAGCCCGAGGTCTGGAGAGGGCGGAGGCCGCGGGGCCGTCTGTCTGTCTGTCCCTGGGTGGGCGGCGGCCAGAGGCTTGGCTGTGGAGCCACGAGGCAGAGGGACTGGGACGGGGTGGGTCCCAGGACCACGGGGCCCGGGCATAGCCTGACTCCAGCCTCGCAGACGGCCTGTGGGGTCCACCCTCTCGTCAGCCCGCGAAGGCCGGGATTCTGGGAGCAGGCCCGCCCAGCGGCCGCGCCCGGGGACAGCCTGGGGGCCATCTCGGGAGCAGCGTCGCCGTCCGATGGCCGGGGTGGGGCTGGGGCCGCCCCCAGCAGACAGAGCCCCATGGACCCACCAGGGTGCTCGCCCCAGTGCAGCGCTGGCCTCGCTCCGACCCCAGGGGGAGCCCTCCGACCTCGCGGAGAAGGGGCCAGACAGGTCAGCGACACCCCGGAGGCCTGGGGGCGGCAGAGGGTCCGGGGGGAGGCAGCCTGGGTGCTGCTGCAGGCGCGGATCTAACCCACTGGGACGGTGCCCCAGGAGGCTCCGGGAGGGGTCCCAGGAGGGGCACTGAGCCTGGACAGAGGGGGCCTGAGGGCCGGGCCGGACGGGGACAGCACCCCGGGCAGGGTGAACAGGCAGCAGGGCCACTGGACGCCCCTCCCAGGAGCCCCCAGCGCCCTGGGCAGCCGTGCGTGGGGGAAGAGGGGGCACAGGTAGGCAGCGAGGTCTCCTGACGGCCCCTCAGCACCAGGCACCCCACCAGGCGGCCGCTGAAATCCACACTGTGGGCGGGAGGCCGGGGGCAGGCAGGTGCACGCTGAGGCCAGGGGCTCCCAGCCCGCGGCCCGGGCAGCAGGAGGCGCAGACGGGCAGCTGCCTCCGGCCGGGCCGGCAGTCAGAGGGCGCCGCCTGCTGGTCCCCGGACGCCGGCCCGAGTGAGTCCCGCGGGCAACCTCGCTGCCCTCAGGGGGACACGCTAACCCCGCAGTCGGCAAACTGCGGCTCCCGAGCCACACGCGGCTCTGGCCCCTGGAGGGCGGCCCCTCCACAAAACACCACGGCCCGGGCCACGCTGTGTGGAAGACGTGGCGGTAGAAGAAGTTTACGTTTAAAAAATGGGGCTCTCCGAGGACATGTCCATCGTTGTCCTGCTGGTATTCGGCTCCGTGGACAATGAGTTTGCCGACCGCGGGCTAGCCCAGCTGCCAAGGGGTACATTCCCTTGGCCCCCAGCCCCACGGGGTTCTGTCCCAGGGACCCCCGTCCCGCTCCCCCGGGCGCCCAGCCCGAGAGGAAGCAGCCACGCAGCCGGCTGGAGTATAATTCGCTTTTAATGAGAACAATGTGTGTAAATGACAGCGCCCGCCGTGCGCAGAGGGCGGCGCCCACCCCATCGGCGCCTTCTGCCCAGGAAGGGGGCGGGCGGGCGGGGCTGAGCCGGGCGCCCCTCGGCCGCGGGCACGGCGCCCCCGAGGGGAAGCGATGGAAAGCACAGCAGCAGTAATACTGGGTGATCCTTCCTTGCGTAAAACCTCTGAGTGAATTCTTTGCAGGTATCAAAAATATACCCTGTAAACCAACACCTCTCCCCCTCCCGCCGGCCGGCGCCGCCCCGGCCCCTCGGCCCGGCCCCTCGGCCCCCGCAGGGCTCTGGCCTGCCGCCCGGGGACGGGGCGGGGCGGGGCGCGCTGCGGGCCGGACGGGGCCGTGTCCGTCTGTCCGTCTGTCCGGAGCGCGAAGCGGGGCGGACGGAGGGCGGGGGGGCTGCTAGCTCAGTTCACACTTTGGTTCCAAATGCGTTGGGGGGGGCGCGGTGGCGTGGGGGGTGTGGTCGTCCGGCTCGGGTCCCTGGCCGTCCCGGCCTCTGTGCGGCCGCCGGCCCCCCTCCCGAGCACCAGGTAAACATCCCCTGAGAAAGTCACTGCCGGGGCCGGCCGGGCGGCGAGTCCCACGTTAAGGCTTCAGACGGGCAAGGACGCGGCTCGGGATGGACGGGCGGACGATGGGCGGGCGGGCGGACGCGGTGGGCTCCTTCCTCGCCGGGGAGGCGGCGCCGCCCGCCCCTCCTGGGGCCGCGCGGACGGTCACTCGCTGTCGGAGAGCGTCTCATACTGCGAGCAGAGCAGCGGCTTGGGCTCCTCGTCCCAGGCGTGGTGGGGGCCGGCCAGGGGCCCGCCCGTGGGCAGGCCGGGCGGCGGCGGGGAGGCCATGACGCCCGCCTGCAGCCGCATGATCAGCGGGTTGTAGGGGAACGGAGTGG